GAGCAGTTACTCATCTAGGTACTTACTGTTGCTTAACTTTAGTGATCAGGCAAGAACCTCTATTTCAATATGATATGGCTGTAAGTGTCCATCACACCATCCCTATATCATAGCTTGCAGTATCTAGTATCCCCAGACAGTTACCCATCTAGGTACTGACCAGGCTCAGCATTGCTTAACTTACATGATTGATCAAGAACCACTGATTTCATGATATCTCACAAAATTTCCAATCATCTCACATGTTTATTATTATTTATTATTCAGCATTAGAAAACTCTCTAATAAAAATATTATTAATATTATTGTTTATTATTCAGCATTAGAAAACTCTCTAATAAAAATAAAATCTGTATTTCCAAAACATGTAAAATGATCTTATATTTAAATTTCCCATGATCCAAGAGTACAGTGAATAAATGGATCAAATTCTTCATCTCTTATTGGAACAAAATTTATATAGAGCAGGGTTTCAGAATATGGCATATGAGCCATGGTAGTGTAGCATTAACAAACGTAGTTATCTCCCTTTGATTCAGCTTTAATTCAAGTGAATGTCAAAGAGTAAGTGATAGTCTTTCAAGAGGCACAAAATTTGTCACTTCACCAGTCAGTGACAATATCTTGGAACAACAGCATGTATATTTCCAGATAGCAATGTATCTTGGAACAACAGCATGTATATTTCCAGATAGCAATGTATCTTGGAACAACAGATATATTTCAATGTATCTTGGAACAACAGCATGTATATTTCCAGATAGCAATGTATCTTGGAACAACAGCATGTATATTTCCAGATAGCAATGTATCTTGGAACAACAGCATGTATATTTCCAGATAGCAATGTATCTTGGAACAACAGCATGTATATTTCCAGATAGCAAAGTATCTTGGAACAACAGCATGCATATTTCCAGATAGCCATTTTCTCTTGCTAGATATAGCCAAAACAAAAATCATATATGAAAAGCAAGTCAACTATCAAGTAAGCCCTTAATTCACTATTTTCCAAATTTGTTAATGTGCATCTGTTTGAACAAACTAATGTAGAAGTCAAGTTCTGCAAATATATATATCTGTTTCTCTTCAACATATAGACATGTCTTTGTTTGCATTCTATTACTCCGTGTACATATGTGTTACTATATTGTGAGAATAGGGCACCTTGGCGTGGCATAATGGTTAACAAGCTTGTCTCGCTAGTACAATTATGACTGAGTAGTGTGTTCAATCCTCCCTGGGTGTCCCATACTTTCGGCCTTGTCCCACATCGGAAAATCTCTATATTGTGAGAATAGTAATGCTATATTGGTATGGTAAGTTGGAATTTATTCTCTATCAACCATTCTAACTGTATTTCATATACAAAACAACTTAAATGCTATACAAATGGTAATGGTAATATTAGCCATTTCTCTACAAGGAAATATTTTGCATTTATTGACTGAGTAGCTAGTATGGTTTTCGGTTGAAATTTATAAAATCTTTCTTAAAACAATTTTTCAGGAAAACTGGATTTTTAAGTTAGCTGTTATCACTCTTTCCAGTATTAATGGGAATTTCCTTTCTAACCTTTTATTTGAAGTAGTGTGGAATGTCAACATCTTGATTATATAATTTTCTCTTTGTGCTATCCATTTTAGTTGTTGCCACTGTTGGTAGTCCTCAAGTGATATAGTTTATGTTCTCTTGTACAGTTCTTTCTTTGTGATTCTGTAGTACCAGTCCACAATCTTCAAAGAAGGATGATCTTTGCCAAGACACTCAGGTTTCACTCAGTCAAAGCCTTTTTTTTACCCCCCCCCCAATTGATCTTTGGAAGCAGTTGTATACAGCTGATAGTTTAGATATTTCTGAATTGGATTGGTAGCATGCATGGCATCCATAGGAAAGTCCCAATCTGACAAGGTTATTTAAGAACATGAATCAAAATTTCAGATTGATGTTTTGGTTTCATAACAATTTAGAAATATTTCAGACACTTTTAAAAACATTTTTGAAAAATAGTATTGGTGACCATACACTTAGCATAAAGTTTCTTTCATACATACAATAACCATTTTTAATTACGCATAGATTGATACAACCATTGAAAATACTGTATAAAATATGTGTAACAAAACATAAAATATAAAATTTAAAACCTTTTCTAAAAGCAGAACTGTGATGATGCCCTCAGACTTAGCATAAGCCACATTTAAGACCCCAGTCGCAGCCCCTAACAAAGAACAAAGCCCAAGAACTACACATGTTTTTGCATTTGTTTTTTTACAATGAAGATGTACAATTCTACCAATTTTTATCCTAAAAATGGACTGTTATATGGTTTAAGTCACTTAAATAACAGGAAAATAATACAATATTTTAAATATGTTCTATCAAAAAATATGTGAATCGAGAGAGCCCTCAGTGAATAATTTGTACATATGTTCTTCAGAAAAACATGCAAATATTTTAGGCTTCCGCAAATAATAAGTACATATGTTCTAAAGAAAAATCTGTGAATGTGAAGCTGCAAATGGGGAAACGTGAATAGGCAGAGGCTCGCTGTATACCATGCGTAACAGCAAAATTGTCCAAATCATGTAAAAGCAAAATTGTCCAATTGTTAGATTAAGCTCTGAACTGTTGTATCTTAAAAATGATTAAAGATATCTTACTGGAATTCTCTGAGGTTTTTATAACTCTATTGGACTCTTCTTTGAGCAATAAGAATATATAAGCTTAATAGAAGTATTGTGATGAAATCGATCATAAATGTAAATGACATGTCATCATTAATTAAACATAGCTAAGGATCGGAAGCTCATGAAGGATTGAAATAAAGTTCAAATATATATAAATATATATATATATATATATATATATATATATATATATATATTATTACAGGATCATTTTCCAACTTATTCAAAATGATCTTCACTCTTTTCTAGCCTTCTAATTTTATGTCCTGGAGTAACAAGGTGCCTCACAGGTTTCAAACATGATTTCATTGCTCTTTGGACTGTCAGAGCTGAAACTCCTCTCATGTGCCAAGCATCTTATGGATTGAGTTGGATCTTTTCTAATTGATCTCTTTAGCTCTAAGTTGAAATGATGATCTCTCTTCCTTTTGTGACCTCCCGATCCAGTTTTCCTCTCTACTGTTTCATCTTTTTTTAAATGTATTCACCATTCTCTTGATGGTTCTTGAATGGACTTTGAGGATGGAATCTAGAGTATGGCATATATAAATATAAATATAAAAGTGAACATTGAAGTCAACACTCAGAGGCGACAGGCTGTTTCATGCTACATGCAATCGTCAGGCTGATGATTACATCTAGTATGAAACAGCCTGTCACCTCTAAGTGTTGACTTCATTGTTCACTTTTATATTTATATTTGCTCTATCTCTGATAATTAGCACATTTATCCCATAAATATAGCACACTTTAAAACTATATTTCTGCATATGTGTGTGTGTGTGTGTGTGTGTGTGTGAATGAAATCTTCAGACCAAGATAATAAATTACTTAATTAATAAAAAAAAAATAATACATAAAAAACACAACATATATATATATATAGCAATGGATTATATGTACAAAAAAATCCACTGATTATGCCAGCGGAAGTACCCCACACCGTATTAAACAGTAAGGCAGTAATGGGGGACGAATGACCAACAAGAAGTCCGATTATTTTTTTGCCGATAACTCCAAAACGGTAGGTTTCGTCATAATTTAATTGTTAATTCGAGTTCAGCATGTACATTTACACGGAATTATGACGATTTTGGAAAATTTTATGAGATATTTAGCGCGGGTGTTAAAAAGCAAATTTACATTTATTTTTAAATTAAATGTTTATTATTAATATTAATATTTTTTTTTTTTTTTTTTTTGTCTAATCAATTGTGACTCGTCTGTAAACATCAACAAATCGAACGTAAAAATATTTTTTCAAAACTCGAAACAAACTTATAAATCTCCCTAATCCGGATGTAACAATATATATTTTTTATATGCTTAGGAAAAAAAAATCAGAAAAGTCCGTAAAAATATTTTAAAAACCACAGAAAGTGGAAATAATTTCCTTTAAAAAAGGCAGAAACTGAATTCGGTTGTTTTTTAAAATCACACTTTTTAAATCATCAGTGCTGTTTCGACTTTAAGACACACTGCAAATCAGTGGAATTTCTCATCGTCAGAATGGCTGCTTGTTTCCGAGCCTACACCCTCTGTTTTTTTTAACCATATTTTTGAACACTCACATAGTCAACCTGTGGTTTATACAGCAACTATGGTGAGCTATGCTCAGTTATATAGTTCCAATATGTGCTCCCGCCAGGGCTATATACGGTTTTGAATGCACTCAGAACTGTCCTTCTCCAAGAAGACTGAAGGGTTATATCAAGCACAGCTAGAGATCCCAATCTACCATACTATTTAATTTTTAGCACATAGCTAAGGAGCGGGAGAAGAGATGGATTCATCATAACTTCCTAAAGTTATTTTTGTGCGAAAGTGAATTTAACGGTCTCCACTACGATTTGATCTCGGTACACGTCGATTTCTACTTCCAACACTTAAAGTAGTTAGGGAATAATTATATATATTATATAAAAAAAAAACAAAAAAAAAACGAAATTCTTCAAATTATTTTCTTAAAAGTAAAATGAAAAATTGAATAAAAGAAAATATTTCAATTATGACAATACAATTTACTTTTTAAAAGCTAGATATTCTTAAATTATTAATAATTACTTTCCGTTTATAAAAATCCTTCTCTATTTTCTTTTTTTTTTTTTTTTTTGGTAATTGAGCGAAATAATTTTTAGCAAGCAAAAAATAAAAGGTGGATTATAAAGAAAACAGAATCCGAGTGAAAAATAATTTTTTGTGCCCAAACACAGGACTTTAAAAACTATCCTTAACAACTAGTAAACAACAGTAAAACTTTGTACTTTTTAAAAAGTTTGTTTTTAAAAGTCTTTTATTTTTTTTACTTACTCAGAGAACTTGCGATAGCCTGTTCGTTAGCCCACATGGCCCATTCAATCTGTGTCATTATTGGGGTTTTTTTATATCGATCTTTTCTCTAAGATAAGGATGATAGTTTTTGGGGGGGGTTTTTAACTACTTTCTGTTTATGACCGTATTACTTGCTTGGTCGCGGAACAATCAAAGTTTTTTTTAAACACCAAAAAAGCGAATTGAGGAAGCATTTTCTGCAGAATTATTCACCACAAAAAATCTCAGTATTTCCCTAAAAAGTCCATCTATTGATATTTGAAAAAGAAAATATTAATTTTGCAATTCTTAAATTTTTTTTTTTTTTTTTTCTAATGTTGCTCAACGTAAATATTTAGTCCGTATTTGTTGTTGAAACAAGTGCTTTCTTTTTCTACACGGTGTTAGTGTTTAGTTTAAATGATTTTTTTTAAGTGTTAATTTCTTGTTGAGCAAATGACGGGAGAAAAATATGGTTATAAAAAATGAAATGAATTTGGTATAACGAATGCAGATGATTTTTCACCTTCATTTCAATACTAATTATTCAAGCACAAAAAAAATATAGGTAATGTTAAAAAAAAAAAGTCAAAAAATATTTATTTACTCTCCGTGTAGGTTTGCTTTTTTAATAGGAAAAAAGAAAATAAATAATTTATCGATTTTATTTTATTCTAATTTTTTCAATAGGACAGGCTTTTAAAATTAAATTTCTCATATGACACTTCAAGGTAAGAAGCTCAATGTCGTTTTAAACAGCATTCTAGAAAATCACTCAAAATGGGATTTCCATAGCAGTTGAAAAAATCTATCGTGTCTTTGTTTTAGTTTTACAGACACACATTCCATGTCTAATCATCTTTGTACAGCAAAGTTGTCCTTTCTATTTACCAACATTGCTACAAAGCAATATGTGGCACAAGGCCAGTTTTTAACGTGGGAAGTTCCGAGCCCGTATGCACGGGCAAAAATTTCGGGTTTGTCTACCTCTCCAAATGAGACTCTGCTTTTTCGGCATAGCCTTGTGTGGGTTCCTCTAAGCCCGGAGGCAGATTGTTCTTCTCCTAAACTGGTTGCCAACGACGGCGAGAAAGTCCAGTGCCAGTCTGTCCTTAAACAATGATTGGGATAAAAAGGGATTCATATTTTTCCTTCACAATGATATTTCATAGAATTTGAATGTAACAAACTGTAGTAAAGATCTGGTGGGATGGACTTTTTCTTCTGTGCGAGCTTTAAGGTAAGCCTACCCTGGAAGTCTACAAAATAGACAATTTCTAATTAAAACGAAACGACAGCAAAAAAAAAAAAAAAAAAAAAATGACACGTAATAAGGACCCTTGGCGCTTTGACGAATATAACACTGATGCACTACTGAGGATTTAAGAGGCAATTTAAAAAAAAATAATTCTTTCTACGTTTAATAATGACAAATAGGTTAGTGAATAATTTCCATAAATGTCGGTTACTCTAAAATAAAATTGACATTTTTGGAAATATTCCTTTTTTTTTTCTTTTTCAAATATAATATTCGATATCCCCAATTATTATTGTACTTAAGTTAACTTAAGTCAACTGTTTTCACTTTTCTTATACACCTCCCCGATAATTATTAATTACAAATCCTACAACCTACAAGAGATTTTGACGCAAAAACACAATCTTGTTCCCCACCCCCAAAAAGTACAATTTTACTTTGTTTATAGTTGAAAAAGCACATGGACGTGTCTTGAGATTCCAGTTTGGAAACACTTTTCTAATCTTGTTTCTATCTCGTCTAGTGGCCTAAGAAATTATGCTATTTTTTTACGGACTTTCTTTTTCATCGGCTTAAATAAATTAGAGAGACGTGCATAATGAAAAATTTCTATTTTCACATCTTTCAATCATCGATGAATCGATCTCGGCAGAAAAAGAATTCTCTTTTTCAAGCAAAGCAAATCTAAAATTATCCTTGATTTTTTTGTCAACAACAATATTTCTTTTTTTCTGATGACGCCGATTCATCGGTAGAAACCTGTCAAAATAATAATTATTATAATAAATTACCAATTTGTCTTCTTTAGTTACTATTCCGTCGGATTCTCGTGCAAACTTTATTTTTACTGCTATTTCAAAAAAAAAAAAGGAAAAGAAACGATAACTAAGTTTTTGTTTTGTTTTTTTAAATGGATTTTTAAAAATGAGAAATCGTTCTTAAATCTTTTATATTTTATTTTTAATTTCAAGTTAATAGATTAAAAATAAATATTAATTAGTTCTTCTGGAGAGTGCCATTGCTGGATGACGATTTACTATTTTTGAAAAATAATACAAGAAGAAGAATAATGTTCCTTTGAGAAATTGACAGTCTGCTTGTTGCGCCCAACGAGTGTGTGTGTGTTCGAACCCAGATAAAAACCAAGTTTCGAATATTGTAGTTTTTATAGTTAGACATACAAATTCTTTTCAACTGGAAAAATGTTACCACACGATCTTCCTATTCTTATTTCCCACCCCAAGCTAAGATTAGAAAATAAATAAATATTTGAAAATGAAACAGTACTGTTGTTTACACGTTCCTTTATTTATTTTTTTTTAGAATTCACATAAAATCTTAATGATAGTTGATCAGTCAATTATATTGACAATGCCCTTTTTCTTTTTAATTTCCCAAAGTAAAAAAAAAAAAATCAAGAAATAATCTATGATTTATTTAAAATTAATTTCCTCAAAGTCACATTTTTATTTTTGTATTTGTGAGAAAAACTATTACCAATGACAAAGACGGTGATGACCATAAAAAATCTTCTTTCAAAAATTAGCATCAAGAAGATGTGAGTTACTTCCCCTGTTTTGTATATTTGTTTCGTTTTTTTATTATTCATATATATAAACAAAGGAAACACCTGATGTCTTTAAATCCGTTTCCGATTTGTGGGGTTTCACGTCGCACGACCAAACGGAGGTAGGATTATCTTACTACTCTTTCAAATTGGAAGTAACTGCCTATCCCCAAATCTTCCTTGTCATTCATTATTTCATGGTTACTCGAACAAGTAGTGTATTATTGTGTCCATTTTTAAAAATAAATAAAAATTAATTATACTGTTACAAATTATAATATAAAATAATCAACAATCAAAAAATAACATTAAGCGGTAAAGGAGAGCCAAAGATTTATGAAATTTTAAAAATGAAAAATCTTTCTTTTTTAGCTTAGTTTTTTTTTAGTTTCCAAGCTAATAAATTTATTTAATATTTTTCCAATAAGCAAAATACTTTTTGGATGTATTTCAAAACTAATTTAAATTGTCTGAAAAGAATTCATTTTTTTTCTTTTGAAGATTATTAGCTGATCTAAAGTTTTTGACTCTAAATTTGAAACAAATACTACTGTCGCGTAAAAAAAGTTATTTTATTAACACCGAGGGAGGTGTTTTTATGAGTTTTATTGAAAATCGGAAATTTAACTAATTTTTTCTTCGGAAATCTCTAAAAATTACTTGATAACGTGAGCACTTTTTTAATATAATCTTTTTTTAACTACCCAGTAATCTTTATGAAAATATTCTCCGTAAAATGCTTTATTGAATTTTAAATACTTTGGCTTTTTAAATTTACTATATAGTTAGTGGTCTTATTTTCAGATAATGTCGTGTATGGACGTCCGTATTTATAAAAATCGGCACGTTTACTTTATACACACGCAAAAAATTCTTTTTAAAATACTGGGAGCCGTTGAATTGTAGTAAGTAAGCTTTTCTATTTATTTATGATTAGTAAATAAATATAGTTTTATTTTACTTATTAATGATATCACATAACCGACCCAATTGAATACAGAATTTTATTTTAAAAGATTAAAAACTTTAATTTATTTTAAATTTAAATTTTTAAAAAATTGAAAACCATTCTTCTAACAATTCATTTTTCCTTGAAAAAATCTTTTAAGACAATAGTGTCCATAATATATCTTATTCATAAAAGCAATTAAAAGCTTAGTTTTATTGGATTATTTTTTTTTTTATGATTTAGAGCAGATTAACTAGGTGTCCTGTTTGATCAAAATGATTTCATGATTTAAATTCTCTGAAGATTTGTTCTTATAGTTAATATAAACATTAAATAACCAAACAAAGATTTTTTTTTGATTTCATAACATTAAATAAGTTGGGGTAACAGTTGTAAAAAAAAAAAATTATATTTTTACAAAGATTTTCTAAAAAAAGAAATATTTAAAAACATAATTTCATCTTGTGTATCAGTCTATATCTCTGAGATGAGGTATTATGATTACTTGCATTATTTACATTATTCAGACTGTATTCCTCTTCTTCATTGCCATATTCACAATGTTTTGGCCATTGTACGCTCTGGCTTCTTCAGATGATTGGAATTTCAAACTGAACACTTTATTTTGTCAGGGTAGGTTGTTCTAGTTCCATGTGCTATGTCTCTTCTGGATGTCTCAGTTATTTCCCTTTAATTCAGCTTCAGTTTTGGTTCACCACTGCTGTGGCCAGGTACTAAACTCACAACTCTTCAGGTGTATTACTGTATTACTTGTTCGATTCTCATCGGGGATGACAAGACTTTCGGACCACACTGTACATCAAATCCAGGAATTTTTAAATGCTAGAAATGACATTTGAAATGTTGTCTAAATGGGCTTTACACATTAACTAATGTAATTTGACAAATACAAGTGAGGAAAATCCATCCTTCAAAAGATTAAGAATTCAACAAATGGTTATGACAGTAAAACAAAAAAAAAACTGAATTTGGCAAACAAGGGGTTCATAGACACCTTAAGAAGGTTGAAACAATAAAAACTAGGAATTGCCAAAATGGATAAAAATCCCCAAAAAACAGATTACAGAAAATAGAAAACTGCCAACTTAGTCATCACTAATCATTTTGATTAAATCTAAATTAGCAATGATCAATATACTGTATCAATTCAACTTTTCAGTACAAAGCTACAGGATTCAATGCATTGTCTAAATGTTGTCTAAATTATGCAAAAGTGAAAATAACACCGACATCTCATTTTAACAGATATATTTACCAAAATTACACAAAAAAAAATCTTGAAATACTAAAGAGTAAATTTATTCACAATCGCCATTGGCTTCAACCACAGCCTCCAGATGACTTCAGAATCTCCTGCAACTCTTCTGGACAGTCTCCTTGTTTAAGTTGGTGAATACTACCATAATCTTCACCTTCTCTTCATCTTATTCATTGTTCTCTTGCTCAACTGTGCTCTGCACATAATAATCAAGGGGGGTGCAGGCTGGGGAGTTAGGTGTTAGGGGGTGATGTGGCTGCAAAAATTGTCTGAGAGACATGACTGTGTTCTCCTGCTTGTGTGGCATGGTGCAGAGACCTGTTGCCATCAGCCACCCTCTTGACCCAGGGCTAATTCCTCAATGCATTTGATGTCGGCTTCCATGTTGAGTCTGACGCCTTTTAGGAAGATGAATGGAGGTACAACGTCGCCATCACTATTGATCACTCCAAACACCATGGATGTTGACTGGATATATCATTCAACTCTTTCCAAATACTCTGCATTGTCCTCAGATTGACGCCCAAACACTCTGAAATGTTCAGATTGGCGCTTTCAGCACAAATGCCAATCAGTACAACATGCTGTTTCCAAATTACTGGCAAAGTAATTTACATCATGGGTGTTTTTTTTTTTCACAGAGAGAGCCCAACTGATACTACTATACTGTTCAGTTGACAAAATCAAACAATGCATGTGCACAAAATTAAAAATAGAAAATGGCGACAATTTGCCCATTGCACCCTGTTTTTATATATATATATATATATATATATATATATATATATATATATATATATATATATATTTATATATTTAGTGGATTCTCCTGTCACTTTCAACATATGTGACCCTAATAACTCTGTTTTAGAACTAAACCCTGCCAAACTACCCATACATATGGTTTGTTTATAGAAGTGAAGTAAAAATACCCACATTTGTAATAAGGACATCTAACAGAGAAAAGGTGCACAAAGTCCCCAAACAGACCTCTTATTTTTTGAATTCAAGAGTTTTCTTTTTCCTGGAGGGCCTAAATGTCCCTGCTATTTAACCCATAGGTCAGAGGTATAAGAAGAAATGGATTACTAATTTTTCCAAAGGTATTTGTGCAAAAGTGAATGCAATGACCCTGTCTGAAATTTGAACCCTGCCCACCCACCTCTCTTTCCGTGATGAAATGAATATGAATGCACACCTGTAATATAAGTGAACATCTTAAATCAAAATGATTTTCCCTTTCCCAAAATATAATGTTTGTTCATAAGTTTTAAAAAAATGAAAATTTTCTAAATCTCAAGCAGTTGTTAAGTCATCCATTTATGTTGCATGACCAATGTTTTTACATCTTTTTAAACTAATAACATTTTTTTCTCTCTCTCTTTTTTGATTCAAAAGTGTGCTGTCTTCGGAACACAATAATGTCTGAAGCAAAGTTTTCTATTGACTGTCACAAATCAGATGTGAATGGCGTAAGCTTTTCTCAGAACAGCATCTTGTCAACATGTGCAGGAGACAAAACTGTGCGTTTGTGGACAGTTCCTGATTTTTCTGAGTTTCAACCAATCTCCCCACTTCTTGGACACAGTCTTTATGTGAATTATTGCGATTTTAATTCCTCTGGATTATTATTGGCCACATGTTCAACTGATGGGAAACTTATAATCTGGGATTTAACGACAGGCAGAAAACGAGCAGTTTTAGAACACCCAAACCGGGGAGGAATCAGAGTTTGCAAATTTTCTCCAAATTCTTTGTTTTTGGTTTCTGGCAGTGACGATGAAACTTTATGCGTCTGGGATGTACTTTCTTGGCGTCTCTTGAGGTTTGTACGTATGTTGTTGGTTTTTTTTTTTGGTTTTTTTTCTTCAATTTGATTCTGGCTAAAGCTTTGTTATAGGCATAATCAGTATTCTTGAAATGGACTTAGTATTTTTGAAATAGACTAGTAGTCAGCATTTAAAACCACTATGTTGTATATACACAATGTACTTAGGAATTTGGTTACTTGTGTTCTTTTGGTACTTAACATGTCCTGTTCGGTATTTTTACACTTTGTACAAATGGTTAACAATGAAAAAAATGGAGTTGGCAAACCAAGTTCAAATTCCTGCTGAGATAGTTTACACTTTACACTGACCCTTGGGGAAGGTATAAATTCATCTCTTCTCTACTCTGCAATGGATTAAATAACAAAGTAGACTGGTCTATCTAGCCTTGATTGGAAACCTGTTTAAGAGGACAACTCTGAAAGAAGACAAAACAGGAAAACACTCCACTTTCTTGCCCAATAACAATCATACTATTAGACAGTTTGTGCACTTCGACATAGTGTAATGGTTAACAAGCTTGTCTCTCTAGAACAATTTACAACTGAGTAGTAAGTTCAATCCTCACTGGGTGTCTGATGCTTTTGGACATATGTCACAGCTAAGCTGCACTTAGAAAATCACCATACTATTAGACAGTTTATAGATATTAAAGAAAAGGAAGCTGTGGAGAACCCTGTTCACGGTACATGCTAAAATGACTTGTCAAAGATGACTGAGTATAAAAACTGATCAATGGGTCCCAAAAAGCCAATGATTAATTATTGATTATCAGCCAATTATTGCACTCAATTATACACACATTATAACATAGCAGATATACTGAAAACACATGTAGATTAATTAGAATTTTTCCACTGTAATCATTTCTTAAGCACATTAAAATTTTCATTCAATCTAAAGTTTAAATATTTAGTTAAAAGGCAAAAACTAAAAGTTTATAGAAATTCACTGCAAATGATTTTTACTATGGGAATACCCTAGAAATTATTTTGCTATACAAATGCTGTGGATATGATTGATTATGAAACCCCTGACAGGTAGCTAAAATTAGAACCTTGTTTGACTGTCCTGATCTCTTAAATTGATGCTACCAAGTATAAGAAAAAGCATGACAATTATTTTTGGTTTATTCCAAAATTCAAGTGTCCTGGGTCTGATGATAAACTACGTCCAGCATCAAGGCTTCTGATTGGGAAGTTTTGAGAAGTTTGCAACCACGTCTTAATTGCTGTTGTTCCCAGGTCCACCATGACCTGGTGTGGGAGCACCTGTTAGGGTCCCAGCTATGGGTAAATAGTGAACCCCCAAACTGGCATCAAAACATTATGAAAATATAAAAAATACATTTTTGGAGTAAGAATACCAGTAATACATTTTCATAGTAAAAAAAAAAAAAAATTACCAGCAATATTTTTTTGCAAACAAAAATTACCAAAGCTCCCAAGACAATTAAACTTCAGCATTAAATGACCCATAAGGTGTTAATATGCCATTAACCAAACTAAACCTCAAAGTGATTTACACTTTGAAAATATTAAGAAACAAGACAAAATCATCAAGATTCAGTCTAATCCATTAAAAGGTTAATACTGTTACTACTATTTGTTTTTTGCTTTATTGTCCTCGTTTAATAAACATTTTTTTATCTTCAGAAACCTGAAAGGCCATGAAGCATTTGTTGTCACTTGTGCTTTTAGTCCGGATAGTCAGTGGATGGCATCAGGCAGTAACTCTGGTGAAATACACATCTGGGATATGTCTTTAAATTTTGGTAATTGCCTGGTCAAAGAAGAAGTGCATGACTTGGGTGTTGCAGCCTGTGATTTCTCCATTCTCTATGGATACGATGGTAAGTTCCTTATTTAAATTCTCATTACTTAAAAAATATACTTGTATTTAACTATGTATGCTTTCTGAAAGCAGGAAGACTTATAAATATTTCATTGCTGCTATGGTGTGTTCAGTTTTTTCATAAAGTGCTCTACAATTGTTGCCTTGTACCAGACTATAACTCAGCTTACTAAGTATATAGCTACACTTCATTTTGGTGGAGTAGTAAATTTTGGTCTCATCTAGGGAATTCAGTTTACATTGGGTGCTCCATAATTATTGCCTTATGCCAAACTATATCTAAGCTTACTATCAGTGGAGACATGATTTCCAGTCTTCAATCCAAAACCTTCACCATCCTGGGTATTATGATAAACTACATCCGCGTCCTGGATAAGACGATAAACTATGTCCAACAGCAAGGCCTCTGATCAGGAGGTTTTGAGGAGTGTGGAACCACCCCTTAATTGCTGGTGTTCTCAGGTCCACCCTGACCCGGGGTGGTAGCACCTGTTAGGATCCCAACTATGGGTAAATAGCCCCCAAACTAGGGTCAAAATACTATGTAAGTGTAAAAATAGGTTTTAATACCAGAAATACTTTGTAAAAAAAATTTATTACTAGCAATACATTTTTGAAAAAAATTATGTTACCAGCAATACATTTTTGAAAAAAAAAGATATTACCAGCTATACATTTTTGAAAAAAAAAGATATTACCAGCTATACATTTTTGAAGAAAAAATATTGCCAAAAATAAAAATTTTGTCAGCATTAAATAATCCTTTGAGGTTGATATTACTCAAAAATTTCTTAGCCTATTTATCACTGTTTCTGGTGGAACCCCTAGTAACCTCTAGCAGAACTTTGTTTCTAGGGAACATCAGTTGAGAAACCCTGCCATAGAGTAATGGTTTGGATTCTACCCTTGGAAACCAGAAATAAGTTTGATTCACACTGGGTTTCCAAATCTTGTGACCTTGAAACAGATAAAAATTGAAGATGCACCTCAGAGCATCTCACCGAGGATTAATGATTACCAATCTAAACTGACTATTATTACTGTACCAGTACTCTAAACCTCTTGCCTTGTACCATACTCACCTGAACTTAAATCAGAGATCCAAACAAACTTTGTTTTCATCATCATCCCAGAACTGTCCCAAAAATTATTAAAAACATTTTGAAATCAAAATGCATTTTTTAACTTTATTAATTTATTTTTTTTAAGCATTTCACCCCCCAAGCAAGGCGGGAGTGGCACTAGTATGCAAGGGGTTACAGAG